CCCCAAAACCCCAAAACCCCGAGAGTGATTATAGGTTAAACAAATTTAAGTTGTATATTTGTACTTTGAGCCAATTATTATTATAAATGTTAATATAATAAATATTTTGGATTTAAGAATTTAATAGAACAAAGATTATATCAATAATTTTTTAGAACATTTAATGGAGGAAGATTACGAGATATTTTAAAAATATTCATAGGAAGAATTCAAGTAAGCAATAAAGAATTATAAGTTATTTAGTCGCATAATTTTTCATATTCATGACACTTGAGCACTAGGCAACGAAGAATCATTAATGGAGGTTATAGAATCAATAAGAAATTTGTCTGAATTCTTGATTTTTTCCGAAAAATTTGACAAAAATTACTTTGAGTATGCACAATATTTTAATGTTTTATCTTTGTAGTTAGTTTATTGAGATGAATATACTTGAGCAATTCACTAATTTCCTTTGTTATAACAATAGAGTTTTAAATATACAGCTTATATAAACTACTAGCATCTTACTGCAGAATATAAATGACAGAGTTAAGACATGTAAGTAATAGATTCTTCTTTCTATAATCTATTATTAATCTAAAAATTTCAATTTTTTCATAGTTTATATGTTTGGACATTCATTCTTAAATGAATTGATTCAGCATAACTATAATTTCTCTAATGACGATGAGTTGATTGACTATTATATCTCTTTTTTGAAAAGTTTAACTCTTAAGATTAATGAGGAAAACATCATATTTTTCTTCAATGATAAGTTTAAGACCTTTCCTCTATATTATTAGGCTGTTAAGTTCTATAATCACCCGGAATCTATGGTTAGAACAAGTGTTAGAACTATAACACTCACAATCTATAATTGTACCTTTTTAATCTGAGTTTTAATTATCGTATAGTGAAGAACCCAAAAATAAAAGAACTTCTCCTAGATTTGCCTTATTGCAGTTATTTTGTGAATTTATCATGCTACCTAAGAGATTTCTGGATTAAAATAGACAAATCAATCAGCTTAATTAACCTAGAGTAATCTTCCTTAATTTTATTAATATGATAATAGTTCTAAACAGCTGGATTTAATGATGAGTGATGCAGAAGATGCTAATGAAATGCTTTTTTATATATAAGACATTTTCAATATTGGTGATTACAAGCTGAACAGAATTCTAATTAACACCTTACTTCAATATGCTTTCCTTCCTAATGTAGTCAAGTCACTTTGCGATCTTCAAAATGCTCCTACACTGAGTTTGAATACCAGTCTATATGTGCTGATTTAAACCTTTAGAATCATTAAGGAGAAAGCATTCATCAATCTTCTCTTTAGTGCTCTATTCTTACCTAACTTGCCTCAAGAAATCCTCGATAGAGTGGTAAATGTCCCTGATGCTCCATAAACCTATTCCTAAAAGTTTTAGTATAAAAACTACTCTCAATACTCTCTAAAAGATCATATTCTTGAGTTCTATAATACTAAGAATATCGATTTATTCCTATTGCATTGTTCTTAGCAGCAGCTTCTTAAAAATATCAAGATTAAGTATGAAAAGTAGATATCTTAGCTATAGTAAGAGAGACTTGAGGATGAAGAATACCAAGCTAAATTATTAGTAGAAGAGCAAACTGCATAAGAAGATGACGAATTTTTCGATTGTAAAAGTGATGAGGAGGAAATCAAAATCTATGAGATACAAGAAAAAATGACTCTACAAAAAGATGAAATACAGCTAGTAAAACTTCAACAGATTAAAGCAGATCTGTAGAATGAACTATTTAGCCTAATATAGGTCGAGGACCAATAAAATATAAGGCAATAGCATCTCTAACTTAGCTTAGGTTTGGGTTTACCAGTTGGAATGATAAATTAAGATGATGGAGGTGAATGGCTTATAAATCTTTCTAGTTTTTATCATAAGATAGAAGCTCAAATTGTATATATAACGGTTATTATTAACATTCATATAGAAGAGTGATCAGTTGAAGGAAGAGCCTGTAAATAATTGCAAAAATACTTTATTGTCATTTCTAAGAGTAAGATTTACCTTTTATTTCATTTTAAATTTATAATTAGAGCAAAGATGATAATTTGCTACTTTTAGTAGGAGGATTGATAGTGTCTGCTATTAATAACAATGTGATAAATCCAAGATTTATAAAATTAGTTTCAGAAATTTGCCCGAGAAGATTTATTAAGTAACAAATAGAAGGAGATTCAGAAGATTAGACTTTCTCTTACCCAAGATATCATTAATTGATTAATAGATTAATTGAAGTAAGCATTCATACAATTTTTCATGGCTATAGGTAATCGAGATGGATCCTCCTTTTAGAACATTCACTACTAGAATTTATATAAAGCTCCTCTTAGATCTTTGTCCTCCTTAATCAGGACTATTTGAGAGCAGATACTTGAAGAGATTATTATCGACCTATAAAAATAGTATACAGCACCTAAAGAAGATGGTATACCTGCTGAACCCAGAAAACTACCTAGATCCATTCTATTACTTCATGGAAATATTTTAAACTGCAGTTAAAAACTTTAAAGAAGTCAATTCAGTACATGAATTTTACAAGCTGCTTTCTCATCCATTGCTTATGTGCCCTTATTTAACAGAAGAGCTACAGAAGAAGATGCCAGTGTAATTATATCAACCTATGTCAAGAGAAGAAGAATCAGCAAATTAAGCATTTTTCACTTAAGAATTAGTAATGAAAAGATGGCTGGTGCATGAGTATGCAAAGGGGCTTGGTCTTGATGGAAACTTGATTCTAAAAGAAAGCAAAAAATATGAAATGATAACAAGCAGAGAGTTTGGACAAGCAACTCATTGGGAGGAGGGTAAAGACATTGATGTATTTCCTTCAGATACAAAATATTTTACTTGCTTCCAGAAATATTCCAAATTCAGTTCAGACTAAATTTTATTCTTAGCAGATGAAAATTACCTACTCTTTCTCAAACCATCTAATCAACCATCAAAACTTATGAAACCATATCAATCTTTGATGAATAAGCTACCTGATAATATATATAAGTCAAAGAACTCAAACTATGATTATGTAGTCAGCTAAAATCAAAGTGCTTCATTTGGACTTCCATTCTATGGATATGAAGACCAACCAACATTCAAGGTCTTGATCAAGTAAAAGTTTAAGCAAGTCATTGAGACAATGCTAGACCCAAAAGATTTTAGAAATCTAAGAATTTATTTAGTTGATAAGAATGAGCCTGATGGATACAGATGGCTGGAATACCAGTTTGAAAATGGTCAAATTGCCTAGCTGATTAAGGATCAATTCATAGATGAAAAAAAGAGGAACCAAATGATTAATGAAAAGCATGTACTCGAAAACTTTTTGATTGAGGAGTGCGAAAAAGAGCTTTTTTAACTATTGGTAGCAGCTGATGACTAAAATTAATAATGACCAATCTTATAATTATTAATTTCATAATTTTTAACATAGTTAATCAGGTGGGGTTTTGGGGTTTTGGGGTTTTGGGG